CTCTCTCTCTCTCTCTCTCTCTCTCTCTCTCTCTCTCTCTCTCTCTCTCTCTCTCTCTCTCTCTCTCTCTCTAGTTCTCCTTTTTTCCTCCTTATAAATTATCTCTCTCTTTGTTTTATATTTTAACTAGAAATCCAAATGTTTTAATAGGAAGAGCACTGATGTTCTAAATGATTAATAAGAAGGTCACTTAAAATGAGTTTCTTGGGACAGACTTCAGATGAGATAATATAGGATAACAGCGTTTGGCTTGGAGTTTCATTGGAAACTTTAGCACAATTCCTAATGAACCCAAAATATATTTTTTTGTTATCCAGCATCAGCTCTCCAAAAGTTGATCTATGATATCAGTTTTTTTCCATTTTCTGTGATGGGGGAACAGTATAAAATCATTCATTATTCACATTTTATTGTAAACAGACTGAGAAGATCATTATACATTATATATTTTCATACAGAGGATATGATGGAAGATATTGTTACAGTTTATGGGAGATGATAGGACTTAGGATAGTGATCCTAGTGAGGGGGAGGAAAGGTATCCTTGAAGTGCTCTTCAAGAAAATATTTGGGATTCTCCTTTTGATGTATTGTAGTGTGAATGTCCTGTGATGTCAGTGACTTGGAAAGGTATCCGTGCTTGATGTAATTATTTGTTTTCCTTACATTTTCATTTGCTCAGATTTACGTTGGACATCTCTGTTGACACTTGCTTGCAGATGCAACGTTGTCAACACCTGTATGCACGCTAAGGCCGTTGATAAGAGCTAATATTAAAATTAAACACACATGTTCTCACTGGTTGTATGATATGTGTTGAGCGACCGGCCTGTGTTTAATAGACAGGTATTAACATTTATTTTCACTGCCCACACGTGTTTTATCCAGACACACCTGCCAATATCTGTCATCCGTAACACACAGGTGTCACTAAAAAAATTACACCTTAAACGAGTGTAATTTATTCCCAGGTGTTTATTATTAGTTCACAGATGTTTATTATATAAAAACACCTCACTCCCACTGGCTCCCCAGAGTAGGGAAAACCTAAACATTGTCAGAGCTTTGAGGGATGTAAACATTCAACATTTGATATCACACGATGGGAAAGAAGGAGATGGAAGGGTTGACATGGTAAAGAACACTTCTATAATTTGACTCATTGTTACCACATTCAAGAAGGGGTAAGAAGGGACTATAATGAGAAGGAAAGAAATACTACACGTCTTGTAACACTACAATTTTCTTCTTATAGATGTTTTTTTTCTGGAATAGATGTTAATGTTTCTTATTATCTAGATCTGAAGCAACATCCTCATTTTATACATAAGACAGCCGGTAAACATCATATATGATATATATTTTTATTTATATATGTTATGTACATAAAACATTATATTTTCCGGTGATTGAACTGTTCAGATCATTATACACCGGATATCCATTTTTATTTTCATTCGGACACATCATTAACCATAACAAAACCATATATATTTATATATCCCGAGCCGGATATTACACAGAACATTCAAATTTTTGAACATATTATAGGCCTATACTATATCCATGAACCGAGCAGCATAATTACACAATTACCTTTCATTCCAATATCTAACAGATGTGCTCTTAATTTTAAATTCCAACACGTATATATATATCCGATATTTCCATTAATTCGGTTGATCCATAGATCCGGAAATCACGAAGTACATTCAGGCAAGAACTCCGTACTGAAAATTGAATATCTGATGAAACCGGATATATTTGGAAACATTCTGTACATTGTTCCTATCTCCTAGAAATCCGGAATTGAAAAGTATCAGGCTATTTCGAGAACGGCAAAAAACATGCAGTTTTTTTCCTCACACATAACCTATAAATAGTGGACAGTTTTCTGGTGTGTGTGTGTGTGTGTGTGTGTGTGTGTGTGTGTGTGTGTGAGCATTCCTAGCTGTACTTACCTAGTTGTTCTTGTGGGGGATTGAGTTCTGGCTCTTTAGTCCCGCCTCTTAATTGTCAATCAACTTGGGTGTGTGTATTTGTGTGTTTGCATTGATGTTTGGTGTGTGCATGGGTCACAACTTGTGAGTGCGTTTATATTTGCATATTTACACTTCTGACTAGGTTTTGCGTGAGAATGTATAATTGCGTTTGTGTGCACGCGTGTTTTGGGACGTAGAAAATTACGAAAATTGGCTAATAAATAAAGGGCCAAGCAAGAGAAAGAGATTCACAAGAGAGAGAGAGAATTACCAGGGGGAAAGCGCCAAGCCATTACGACTATATAGCCCTTGGAAGGGGTCAGGATAATACTCAAGACTATATCATTAAAAAAATGAGAATATTTAAAACAAAATTTATATAGAATAGAATGGCACCTACCAGGTCTCTGCAGCTACATATGTACCCATTATTGCCAAATAACATAACAATTCCACCTAATACTTCTTTACATGCAAGGTGTAAAATTTAAATAATAACAATTACCACAACTGCGTTTAAAAAAAAATCAAAATTGTTATTAATAACAAAAATTACAACTAAATTTGTCATTACAAAACAAATATTGTAATTAATCGCCTCAGTACTGGTAATCTTTCTCGTAAGAGCAATTCCCTTTTTCAGTAACTTACGAATTTATATATACTGTCCACTTGGATTCCTCGCACATCACTTAAGTGTTCTGTATTAGGGGATGGAATCAGTGTTAATGAAGATACTTCAAGCCAAGGTACTCATTAATTAAAATTTTGCCCTAAAGGGCGAGTGGATTGGGCAGCTTCCCTCAGTCTGTGAGTGAAACTGCCTCCATAGTGTGTATATGCACTTGGTACAACAATAGTTCTCACTTCATGCAAAGTCGTTGTTCGATCCCCTGTGGTCCATGAGAAAGGGATACGTGAGAAAAGTGGAGGATTTTGAGAAAGGGGAAATGTGTGGAAATAGGGATAAGCAAGAGAAAAGGAGAAGAGAAAGTAACAGAAAAGACTGAGAAAGAGAAAGGAATACATAAGAGAATAAGGGGATACACTAGAGAAATGGATAAGTTAGAGAAAGAAGAGAGAGCAGAGAAAAGGAGAAACAAAGAGAAAGGATAGAGGAAAGAAAAGGGAAAAACAAATACCGTGTAAGAATAAAAATGAAGGCAGGGATGAACAAGAATGGATGAAAAAGAAAGAGAGAATGTAAAAACCGAGATAGAAAAAAACTGGAGAAGTGATGAAGGAGAAGAAAGAGGGAAAAACAGAAAAGGGGTAAGATAAAGGGGCATAGCAGAAACGACAGGAGACCCGTTATTCTCCAGAAAATATTGCTTCCTCCTTCCTGACCACGGTACTGGTCAACGATGCTCCAGAGAACCTTGTAGTGGTCCATTGTAGCTTGTAGTGGTCATACAGTGGTCCAGTGGTATACAGTGGTCCAGTGTAACTTGTAGTGGTCATACAGTGGTCCAGTAGTCATACAGTTCCAGTGTAACTTGTAGTGGTCATACAGTGGTCCAGTGTAACTTGTAGTGGTCATACAGTGGTCCAGTGTAGTGGTCTTGGTCCAGTGTAGCTTGTAGTGGTCATACAGTGGTCCAGTGTAGCTTGTAGTGGTCATACAGTGGTCCAGTGTAACTTGTAGTGGTCATACAGTGGTCCAGTGTAACTTGTAGTGGTCATACAGTGGTCCAGTGGAGCTTGTAGTGGTCATACAGTGGTCCAGTGTAACTTGTAGTGGTCATACAGTGGTCCAGTGTAGCTTGTAGTGGTCATACAGTGGTCCAGTGTAGCTTGTAGTGGTCATACAGTGGTCCAGTGTAGCTTACAGTAGTGGTCAGTGGTCCACTTGTAGTGGTCATACAGTGGTCCAGTGTAACTTGTAGTGGTCAGCGGTAGCAGTGGTCATACAGTGGTCCAGTGTAGCTTGTAGTGGTCATACAGTGGTCCAGTGTAACTTGTAGTGGTCATACAGTGGTCCAGTGTAACTTGTAGTGGTCATACAGTGGTCCAGTGTAGCTTGTAGTGGTCATACAGCGGTCCAGTGTAGCTTGTAGTGGTCATACAGTGGTCCAGTGTAGCTTGTAGTGGTCATACAGTGGTCCAGTGTAGCTTGTAGTGGTCATACAGTGGTCCAGTGTAGCCTGTAGTGGTCATACAATGTTCCAGTGGAGCTTGAAGTAGTCATGCAATGGTCCAGTGTACGTTGTAGTGGTCCAGTGTAGATTGTAGTGGTCATACAGTGGTCCAGTTACGCCTGTGAAGGAGGACCATCTGATCATGGTCTGAAGGAGATCTGATCATCTCATATGGTCTTAATTGATAAATTACCACCAGAAGCCTTCAGTAAGAGACAAAAATGGACTCTAGGCTAAAAATGTGTAACATTCAGTTGCCGCTTCTGTTCTTGACAAATGTAACATAAACGTTAATTATCGAATAACATTAATTGTTAATTCTGTAACGCAGTTGAGAGTTTAAACAAGAGTTTTGATGTTTTAAAATATTTTTGATGTTCTGATAATTTAAGGATAAGTTTATTGTATTGGAATGGTCGTTTTTTTCTGTCTAAGTACCTTCGTAGCCTTGATATGGTCTTAAGTGGCACAGCGTTTCATACTCGGCTCCGTTTAGGGGGAAACACTGGAGTCAGTGTGACTAAACAACCCATTCTCGCACTTTCTTATAGTCAATATTGACTTATTAAATATGTGCATATATGACATACTAAACATACTAGTTTACTTTGAAAAGCTTCATAGAAAACACCGACCTTACCTAACCTTCTTAGTATGTTAAGATAAGCATCTTATTGCTTCGTAATTACAATTATTACTTAACCTATACCTATAATAGGTTATATACCTATAATAGGTTATAATAACCTATACCTATAATAGGTTAAGTAATAATTGTAATTACGAAGCAATAAGATGCTTATCTTAACATACTAAGAAGGTTAGGTAAGGTCGGTGTTTTCTATGAAGCTTTTCAAAGTAAACTAGTATGTTTAGTATGTCATATATGCACGTATTTAATAAGTCAATATTGACTGTAAGAAAGTGCGAGAACGGGTTGGACTATATAACACATGGAAGGGATAAGAGGAAAAGGAGCTGACATACGAGAATAGGGTCAGAGAATAGTGCTAAACGACTTGGACTATCGGGGATCGAACGCCGATCCTGTGGATTACAAAGCCTTCGCCATAAACCCCAATCCAGTTATCGTTTTGAAAAGCCGGACTTTATATATTAAACTATCCTTTCGAAGCAATATTTTTGCTCCCTAAGGGAACTTTTACACTTCATAAACATTAAAGAACTTTAATAAAGAACTAAATATATCCTAAAAAAAAAACGACCCTTAAAAAAATTAATATTAAGTTGATCTGCTACGTTAAATGTGTATGAGGCGGAAGCGTGTTATTTAATGTGTAGTGAAGATATTTACAAAGGTGTTGATGTGAGGGGAGGACGTCAGCACAGTTGTGTGTACTAACACAGGTGCAAGTGTCAGCGATAATGCAGAGGAACGTGAGTGTCGGGGGGGGGGGGGGAGGAGAGAGGGAGCTGACACCTGCAGAAGGCAAAATTTTGCCTTAATTGCTGACGTCGATGAGCCGACAAGACGAAGAGGGAAGAGGCACGGAGAAGATGAAGGAGGTGATAACCGAGGCACAAGTAGAAAGAGGAAGGAAACCCGGGGAAGATACATTGGGTAATAAACGAGAAATCAAGAGAGGAAAGAAGAAAGGAGGGAGACAAGGACGAAAAAAAAACGAAGCTGAAGACAGAGTAACAAGAAAGACTTTGGCGCAGAATGGACGGAGAGGGTGATGATGGCAGAGAAAGGGAAAGATAGAGAGAGAGAACATGGCAACTAATAGATAAAGAGGAGAGAGAAAACGATTTGAGAAAGCTCAAAAGGAGAGCAGAATGAGAAGAAAGAGAGGAAACAAGAGCAAAAAGCCTCGCGAAGATACCACAAAGAAGAAATGGGAGAAGATGATAATGGAGCATCAAGAAAGGCGGAGGAAGCTGAACACAACACAGCCTCTGGCCGCCCGTCTCTTGAAGCCAGCTAAGCTAGCGGCTTCTGCTACTCTTCGCCTATGGTCCGTTAGTCCTGTGTAGCGGCCACTGGCAGCGCAGAGGTGTCAAGGCCGCGGGCAACGTAACTATGCTTCACATCGATTGACAGCTTTCGATCATCATGCGAAATTGTCCTTCTTGTAGTCCTTTACTCTCAGGTAACTAGGTTCTCCTGTTGTAGCCCCGTGGCGCTGTTCAGTGTTTGTTTACACTTTAAAACCTAAAGTCGCAATAGAGGATAAAGCAGCGCTACTTGTTACTTAGCGGCTCTAGGAGTAACCTCATTGGAGGATCTATAGGGACCCTTGGGGGGTGCCACAAGTCACTTGACAGTGTCACAGGTCACTTGACAGTGTCACAGGTCACATGACAATGCCACAAGTCACTTTGAAGTGCCAACAGGCAACTGGGCACCTCTCCAGTAAGAAACCCGAGAAAATTAATGTTTCAGACATGTAAAATCATCACTGGTAGGGCAGGTAGAGAGTAATGACATGCTGGAAGCCTTGTCAGTGGAACGTTACGCACAGTGGTGCTGTTAGACTGATGATCTGATGGGTGCTACTTGTTAGCGATACGATATCACACGCTACACACAAGAACAGCACCAAGAATAAAATGATTCACGAGTGATTGGTCTCCTGCTCCCTCACCCCCTTCCCCGTCTCCACACACTCCCCCCATCCCTCCCTCCCTGCGAAATACACAGCAACGACAATGACCACGTAAAGGAATGAATGCCAGACATACGGCAGCAACACGAATATTCAAGATTCAACAGGTGACTATCACATATCACAAATTGGGTTTCCTCTCATGTCCACAATTGCAGTCTTCGTTGAACGTGTCACACAGGCAGGGCAGCGTTCCACAGGCCAAACAGACGAAGGAGAAACGCGAGGAAGATGCTCGTGGCGGGAGAACGAAGTCTCGACGCAGACGAAGAATTGTTGCGAAGTCCAGGATGGCTGCCGTAGCGGTGACCCGGAGACTTCTCGTCGTCATCCTCGTCGTCCGGATCTGTGGAGATCGAACGTGTTGTGGTTAGTTTCAGATAGAGGATTAGATGGATTTACGTGAGGTAATTCCACAGGGTGCATGTGGTCTCTCTCGCTTCTGGAGTAGTTATTGCAAGCATCAAGACATGTGGTTGGCAGAGCCGTAAAGCCTTAGTGCAGATAGTCATGCTATTGATGGAAATAAGATGCTGGAAACAGTGACAAAACAGAGGCTGAGCATTGGAATAAATAGTTCAGATAGAAAATGAGCGAAAGGAAGAAACAGAGAAGGAGGTGGGGTAGAGATAGTGAAGAGAGAGAAAGAGAGAAAGAGAGAGAGAGAGAGAGAGAGAGAGAGAGAGAGAGAGAGAGAGAGAGAGAGAGAGATAATTACCCTGAATAGGTCTTTACTACAAAACTAAATATCGCTTGAAATCGAGACCATATATACAATCAACACCGGGAACCATTTGCTCAACACTTTCCCCCCTCATATCCCCCGCCTTAATTCCCTCCCCTCACCCTCTTCCCTCACCCTCTTCTCTCATCCCGTTCTCTCACCTCTCACCCTCCCCCCCCCTCCTCTCGACTTCGACTGACCTTTCCTCTTGTTCTTGCCAAGGAGTCTCTGAACATCGAACTCAATAACACCGTCGGGAGTGACAGTGGAGACCATGCCCTCGTCGCTCTCGTTGTCGGGTTCCCGTCGTCTCCCGCCCCGACGCCTGTCGCTTCCTCCGACTTGGCCCTCTGAAAACGGCTTACGGTCAGCCAGATGGTTATGTGAATGTCTCCCACATTGGTAATGACAAGGAAAGTGAGTGTCTCTCATAATGTCGATGAAAGTGAGTGTCTCCTCAAATAGCCAACCACATGAACGTCTCCCATATAATTCAACGTGAGGAAAGTGAATGTCTCTCACTCTGTGAAACATGTTCCCCATTTCTGTGATACCTTGGACATGCGGGTGGGAGTTTAGGTACGACTCTTAACCCATACACCAAAATTACCTTTCGTGCACACACATCAAATCCGGTGGAATATTTGACTATATCTACGAGAAAGAAAAAAAAAACTACAGAAATTTTGTCATTTTCATCTCTCTCAGATAGTTTTCTTTGTCTCTCTCTCTCTCTCTCGCTCGTTCTTTCAACTCTCTTAATTTATTTTATACCAAAGAATAACGCCAGAATAAAGGTAAAAATTTGTTATTTAAAGTTCACCAGAGTCACTGAGGCAACTTCTTGCAACATTTCCACTAATATTATCGTACATAAAATATTCTGGTGTTTGTAATTACCAGATTTAGTATATTTTAAAATAATTAAAAACACTTAAAAAATAATAAAAATAAAGATAATTAAGGTAACAGTTTTTGTTACCAAATAAATCCATACAATGTACGAGCAACTCAGCTGGTAACCTGTTTATTATGGATAATAAACAGACGTGTTGAGCTGGAACACCATATCAGCTGATGTGGGTTTGTTTATGTTGCAGACCTCATCAGCTGACTGGAAACACTTACTAAGTAAAGCGTAGTGCATTCAGTGCAAATTCAGGGATACGACAAAGGGGTGCGAGTGATGAATGGGCAGAGGAAAGAAGCAACTTAACATGCAGCAGTCAACATAGGCTCTATTACACTGATACAAACACCACAGTTATGTGAAACATCTACACAGTCGAAGCGGTACTTAAGGAAATCTAGAATTACAAAAAATTCCTTGTCAAACATTGCCTCATTGTAAATCATTGATTAAAGATAAAATAAATGACAATGACTCGATTCATAAGGACCGCTCCTCCATTACAACCCGTCCTCTCAAATAGTATATCACATTTTGATGTGTAAATCCCTAAAAACCTAAAAATCTAATGGACTAAATATCACAACAACACTCAAAATTGACGTGATGTCCCGTTTTCTATACGTGGGTCCTCGATTAGAGCTTCGGGGAATCTAGTGTATTTTTGTGGCGTTGAGAACTCTGTAGAGGACGGGCTGCACACAGCTGGGAAAACTCAGGTTCACCGAATATTTTTTTGGATCACTGACGCTACACGCAAGAGGAAATCTAACTGCCATTTTATTTTGTCCTCTTTGTCATCATTTATCGTGAATTTTTTATTATAAACAAATAAAGAATCCAACACACAAATGTGAAGTGGAATGAAAGTGACATGGTTTCGACCCGTCCTGGACCCTTACCAAGTCGTTTCCACGTTTCGGTCCGTCCTGGATCTTTGTTCCTGCGTGTCCAGGATGGACTGAAACACCGATATTCTCACTTCAACTGTTGGTTGTGTGATTTGTTTCAGCCACGATCCTGTACAATCGACTTGAGAATGGTTCAGGACGGACCGAAACGTCGTCGTCCTTTCACTTTCTAGTGTGTGGTTTGGTCAACACGTTCTTGTGACTTCTCCTGTTCTTGTCATGTTATTTTTCTTGTTCTTGAGCATGATCCCCAGAACATTTTCATTTCCCTACAGAGATGAGATACAGACAAATGTCCTTGCTCACGACGCAGAACATGGTAATCAAACCTTTCAGAGAGTGCAGTTTGCAACCTTATCCTGGATATGCATGGTGAAAGAGGTGATATCTCAAAATGCTTGCAATGGTGCAAGTTTCTATTTTTGTTCATGTACATAGAATGGTTGGAAGGAGAAACGAAAAAGGTCAATGATCACGAGAGAGAAAGAGAGAGAAATACACAAAGCCAGACACAAACGAAGGATATAGCTGCCGAAACACGATCAACAAAGACTACATCAGAAACAAATCAGCCATTCTGGGTAGCAGCAAAAACAGAAACCTTCACACAATGGACAATAGTTGGGTTGATCAGGAATCAACAGACTTTGATGAGTGACGAACAAAAACACGAATCCACCAGAAATGTAATATTTAATCTCATTATAAATATAATAAGATGTATTCAGTAATGAGCATTAACAGAAGATTTGGAATTACCCCAAAAACATAAGAATATAGACAGAAGTCCACAGAGAAAATAAAGGAAAAGAATATTAAGAAACGACAGTAAATATTGTGACACCAAAATAAACAATGTAAGCAGGTACCAACACAAGTAAGAAATCAAACAGAAAAACAAGCAATTCAATGAATCGGTAACAAATAGTTCGCACGAAAAGCAGGAATCATAGAATAATAAAACAAACAGGAGCAAGCAAATATCAATACAATAAGCAGGAAACAAGCATCAATAAAAGCACAACAAACGGGAATAACCACGCAACAGGAATCAAGAATAGTACCAACAGAGGAAACACAATCACCCAACAAACCCAAATATGCAAGCAACAAGAGGGATGGGAAATAAAGCAAGCAAGAAATCAAGCAAGCAAGCAAAGATTGTAGGAATAAGCAGAGTGAAACATCACTGGCGAAGACTTTCACATGATAAAGGGACACCACTCACCCTTCCTCCTGAAGTTCTTAGTGTAGTTCTCCCCCTTTGGTTCCTTCTCCCTGGAGTCCTCTTCCACCGCATCTACATCCTCCTCCTCCTCCTCCTCCTTCCTTTCAGCCTTCATCCTGTTCTTCTTCCTCTTATTCTCGCCTTCTTTCTTGGGCTCAGGAACGTTCACTATCATCTGCCTTGGGATCTCTGTAAGTGATCAGGAACACAACCCTAGTCTTTGGAATATATATATATATATATATATATATATATATATATATATATATATATATATATATATATATATATATATATAATTTGTATTTATAAGTTGTATTAATCATTCAGTATTGTATTGCTGTAATGTATTTACTCATAAACCCCTCGATATTCTTAATGTATTAACGTCAACCACACGCCTCACTTTTCTTCACAATATTTAATATTTCTTTTTAATATTGCACAACCAATACCACTCCCCCCACCCCCACCTAACACCTGTTTCCCCTAATCTCTTCCCTACCTAACACCCAACCTAATACCTGTGCCCTTACCTATCCTTCTTGACTTTCGTTTTTTCTTCATTTCTTCTGCAGTTCATCTTATCCTAAAGTCATACAGACATAGCCATTGCCACAGAGAACGAAGAGGGTGTTACAGCTGCTTCCACTGTAGGATGGTGTTATTCCAGGTCATATTATATTATTTTATATATCTTTTGTTTGAAAATCTATGTATTAAACCAATGACATTCCGATTTGACACTGTCATATGGTTATCTTATTCTATTCAATGTAGGTAATGTCTTATTCTATTTAATCCTATCGGCTATAATATCAGAAGAAAACACAGCATCCGGCTCGATGGGTTAGGTGGGTTGCTTAGGTTTGTACGGGTTCAGTTAGGCAAAACATATCCGTTTTTTATGGATTGGCAAATGAAAAGAACAGGGTGGGTGATAATTAGTCAGGTGTTATACCAGAGAGTATAGCTCTGGGATAACTGATATAAAATGGATAATATAGGGCATATGTATTTATGTTCATTCTACCCTATTTTACTCATTTATCATCCTGTATTATTCCCATTTTCCTAGCTACACTCTCTTGCTCCTTCGTTCAGTTTCCCCTCCTGATTCTTCTGAATTATTTAACCCATTTCTTTCATGTCTATTTGTATTTTAAATACGCATATTCAATTATGTCTAGTCCTCCCCCCATCCCCCCTTCCTCAATCGCTCATACCCCCCATTTATTTTTAACAAATTCCTCCAGTCTCCCCATATTTATTTTTGTTTGCACCGTTCCCCAATCTGTTATTTTTCGACCCATTACCCAATCTCCCACCCATCTATTTTCTAGCTTCTCCAATCTTCCCCCATCTATTTGTCTACCCCCCTTACCTATTCCCCCTCATCTGTTTCTCTACCCCTTACCCAATATCCCTTCTTCTGTTACTTTAACTCCCCTTTATCTAAGCTTCCCCTCCCACCTCTTTCTCAGAAACGTACCGTAGACTTTAACATTTCCGTTAGTTTCGCCGAAGGAGTTCTTAGCGTAGCAGCCGTACGACATGAAATCTTCAGGCTGGACGTTCTTGATTTTAAGGCGCATGTAGGCCTTGTAGCCGTTCTCCGCTACGATGCTGTCGAAGCGGCCACCTTCACCACCCGAACGGCGGTGTTGGGGGGAGAGAGAGAGAAGGGAAAGAGGAGGTAAACACGGAGGAATTCGTGGCTGTCATTAGTGTGAGTTGGGGAGACATGTTTTGTGTCTGTTATGCATTTGGTGTCTGGTGGGGAGGTCTTGTGCATTGTTGAGGTTTGTATACTGTTAACTGTTGCATGTTGTTAGCAGGTGTACTTTGTTACCCCTTTGTACACTGTTGTTGTTGTATATTGTTAATTGTTGTGTACTGTTGACTGCTGTGTAGGGTTGTGTACTGTTGACTGCTGTGTAGGGTTGTGTACTGTACAATGCTGCTTCTTGAATACTATTAGCTCTTGTTCACTGTTAACTCATGTACACTGCTAGCTCTTCCATTCACCTGAACTGTATGGGTCTCGAACCCTGGGCCCCCACGCCTGTGAGGCCGTAGCGCTGTCAACAGTAGCTCTATTCACCTGGACCCATACAGCTCAGGTGTTTATTGCCACAGAAGTGTGGATGACAATTTGTTAGCTCTTGTACATTATTGTACCTTGTTGCATGTTGTGATTCGGGCGCAAGTCACTGTTTTGCTACAATTGTATATTTTGTATATTATATACAACTAAATATAACTGTTGTATTGTGTGTGTGGCGGATAATGCAGATATTGCAAAAGCCTTCACTTGCACACTGCAATCACACAGACCCGGATGTGTGATTGCACTGCAGGGTACTCATTCTAATGTGGTTGTGTGTGTATTTACTGTTCTTAATTTACTATTTGTGCCTGCAGGATCGAGCTGTTAGCTCTTGGACCCCGCCTTTCTAACCATCGGTTGTTGAATGTATTGACTATCATGTGGTAGGTACAGATATGTAACTATCCTTCTTCTATCATATCTACTACATATTTTACTCTCACACATACACACTTTCCCAGGATGCAATCCGTAGCAGCTGTCTAACTCCCGGGTACCTATTTAAATTACTGCTAGGTAGACAATGGCAAAAGGTGAAAGAAACTCTGCCCATTTGTTTCCCCCTCAACCGGGAATCGAACCCGGACCCTTAGGACTACGAACCCAGAGCACTGTCCGCTCGATTACGAGAACCTCTGCGTGTGTGTGTGTGTGTGTGTGTGTGTGTGTGTGTGTGTGTGTGTGTGTGTGTAAATGAAATGTTTTTACATAATTACTCGCTGAGAACAAATACAGTCCACGCAATACATTCCAAGATAATGTGTAGAGATATGAGGGAGTTGTGTAGGATGTGTGTGGGGGTTTATTGATATTATGTAGCTACTGTTTACACCTTTTGTGTGTGCTGGGTGTATACAATATGGGTGTAGTGTGTGTGTGTGTGCTAAAGACTGTTACTACTCACTGGAGAGGATCATTTGGCCCTTGTCGTCCGTCCAGTAGTTGATGGAGTTGGGAAATGCCTCAGTGTGGCACTCCAGGGTGACGTCCATGCCCCGGGCCACGCCCACCAGCTGGTTAGGTATCCACAGCACCGGCTGAACTGTCACGACCAGAGAAATGGAATTATGTGAATGGTTAAATTGTATAGTTTGACTCGTCTTCAAAATATTCTTAATTTTTCTCTAGCTATTTTTTCCTGCTTTTTATCTTACTTCTACATGAACCCTTCAAGAAGCACTGAAACAAATCTATGGGTTTCAGATCCTTCCCTTTCGTGTTTCTCCCTTTTCCTTTATATATCTCTCTCTTAAATAATATAATTGTCTATCATTGCTTTTGCGAATGTGGAAATATCGTTTCTTTTATTCTATTATGACTAGAATAAAGATGAGAAAATATGTTAATTCCCCAGAGAATAGGGAATAATGGAGTATATTTGTATAAACTTTTTTTTAATTTTAGTTTTCAAAATATTTTTAGAGGTGAGGCCGGAGGGCATCGCCAAGAATCGTCTTGAGGACAGAATGTGAACCCTGACATGCTGTTCACTCTTAAATTCTGGCGACCTCAGACCGTCCTATCTCCGTCCCGTACCCCAGACCAGTCGCACTGCAAATTTGAGTGAGACTAACCCACTAGAAGTAGTAGTAGTAGTAGTGGATATTGTATGGAAGTGATGTGAATGTTATGTGATGGCTATGTGGATGATGTGTGGCCGGAAGAGTAGACATGGTGGTATGTAGCCTTGGGTAGATGTGTGTGTGTGCGAATCTACTCGAACTTGCTCTACGATCTTACAGTGAGCCAACTGCAATTCCCCTAAAACCACTTACTCCCTATTGCCTAACCGCGAGAAGTTGTGGATAATGTAATTAAGACCCAAAAACTGCTCACTTAATCTTGTGCATTTTCTTAATCCCCATTAAAGTAAATGGGGACACATTAGACTCTGAATGTGTTATTTAGATCATTAAATACAGCAAATACAGCAAATAGGGGTAAATACAGCACAAGTGGCTTTATTTACAAGCTGGGTAAGTTGAATAGCAACCTCCTGTTGTAAGGTAGGGAAAGGGGGAAAGCAGCGACCTATTATTGGGGGTAAGTTTGAAAAAATAGGGAGTATATCAGTGATTTAGAAAAAGGGATAGTTGCTTATTGGAAAGAGAGAAAAAGGCCCTTGGTTAAGAGAGGCAGATGGTGATAATTTGACTCGTAGTAGCAATAGGTTGGGGGAAGAGAATACCCCTTTTGCCCCTATGTGAGGAGGGGGAGGGGGTGTACAAGCCCCTCCCAAGGGTTCAATTTGGGTAGGTTGTGTGTGTGATGAGCTCATTAGTTCTCAGTGGTAAGGGGGCTAGGGTGACGGGTCTTCGATCAATTAAGCTACCGAACACTGTCAATGTTTACTGTCTCTCACCTCAACACCATCCATGTTTACTGTCTCTGACGTCATTAACAGAATGCTTACTGTCCCTTACCGCCCGTGCACTAATGTTTACTGCTTCCGTTGTATTCATCTGACAAACGGCATATACAAATGTTTTAACAATGTTTTGTAAAGTCCACCCCTAGTTTCAAACATACACACGTACACTCACAAACAAATACCCACACACACACACACACACACACACACACACACACACACACACACACACACACACACACACACACACACACACACACACATATATATATATTCCCGTACGAGGCAGAAACAAATGGGCAAAGTTTCTTTCACCCTAAGTGCCCCTGTTACCTAGCAGTAAATGGGTACCTGGGAGTTGGTCAGCTGTCACGGGCTGCTTTCTGGGGTGTGTGTGTGTGTGGTGTGAAAAAAAAAAGTAGTTAGTAAACAGTTGATTGACAGTTGAGAGGCGGGCCGAAAGAGCAAAGCTCAACCCCCGCAAAAACAACTAGTAAACACACACACACACACACACACACACACACACACACACACACACACACACACACACACACACACACACACACACACACACACTTATTAATCTAACTAAATCAATCACTGCGTTAATCGCTTCATTAATCATTACCTTAATCCCTATTGATCATCAGTCTTCGAGTTTCAGGGTCCCTACAAAGGCCATTGGATGAAAATAACATCCACTAGAAATATCTCCAATCTTGTCCCAATCTCTCTCTATCTCTCCTGATCATTGGAATAAAGTTGAAATTATTTCAAGCTCAGCGAAGTTCACATAATTTGTATGATTCACAGAGTGAATCATACAGTGAATCATACAGTGAATCATACAGGGAGAAACATTAATACAACACGAAATAAACACACATTACATACAATCAGCGCATCTTTATTGCCCTTTAAATCTCTGCAAATAAAATATACTCAAAAGAAAGAACCTGGCTTCGTTCACCGTCAACCACCAAGTTATTTAGAAAAGGCTGTTTAATTAACAAGAGTCAGATAATGACTTTTTAATTACTAACAAAGAGTGTTTTAAGTTAGAATTAAATAGGTTCAAAACGGGACGAGTTTGTTATTCAACTCTAATTTATCCTGAGGTCAATACATATCTTCTGCGTATGTATATATATATATATATATATATATATATATATATATATATATATATATATATATATATATATATATATATATATATATACAGGAACTCATAGGCTCAGGAACCTGTACACCAGTTGACTGACGGTTGAGAGGCGGGACCAAAGAGCCAGAGCTCAACCCCGCGAGTACAATTAGATGACTGAGTACACACAAAAGGCTGACAACTGTCCCACGGGACCAAAATTCCCCAGAGAAGCAGACTCGAACCTGACTGATGGAGGTGTCACCCCAGGCCTGCTTACCTACCCCCCCCCCAGACACCCACCGACACGGCCTAGTCCTCCTCCACTCACTCGACATCAATTCCGGTTCGCAAAAACTGGACATCCCCGCCGGGGGTCGAACCCGGGACCTATGGATTAGAAGTCCATCGCGCTTTCCACTGCGCCACGGGGACTTTAGGGTAGTGGCTCAGCAAACTATGATGACCTCGATGGGACAGCTTGCTGAGGGTGTGGGGGAGTGTGAAAGTAATAGGTAGTACGGACATATATATCTTTATTATCAAGAAAGGGAACAGGAGAAATTTGATGATAGGAATCAGAAAGAAACACGAGACAGGTAGGATTAGTGACAGAAGGATGTGTAGAAGAAGATGATAGAGTCGGGATATAGGATGGTGGAATAAAAATGAGGAAGAGGAAAAGAAAAGCGAAGGGGAATAAGAAGAAATTAGACGTTTGCGCGAAGGTGGGAGGAAGAAATAGAGAAAGGGAAGGAAAGATGAACCGATGGAGAGAGAAAAACAGGCAGGCAAGAAATGAGGAAGAAAGAGAGTAAGGGGGATAAAGAGCGGTAGGGATGAAGGGTGGATGGGATTTAAGAAGGGACAAGAGTGGGAAGAGAAAGGGGGTGAGAGGGATAACTGAGTGACGATGGAAGAGATGAAGAGGGAAGAACTAGATCCAGTAAGCATGAGAGAATAAGAAAAGGAATAAAGAGACAGATCCAATCACACTTCTTGATGTCCTCTTACGTGAGAGATAATCTTCTGAAGACATAAATATAGAGATATACATATATATGTACATATAGAGATGTACATACATACACAAAATATACATAGAAATTACATATATATATATACTGCATATATAAATATATATATATACACAGAAAGAGAGAGTGGACGAATGAGAGAATGAAAAGAAGAGAATAAGATTAAATCCAAATAAAAATGACTAGGTCGTAACCCAAGCAGAATAATAAGGAAGGACAACATTCAATGGCTTTCGTTCGTTATCTTAAAGCTCCGTTCACCCTGTTGTTATCGTTCGTTATCTTAAAGCTCCGTTCACCCTGTTGTTATTGATCTCAGCTGATCGTGTGTGACCGTGGAAACTCACGGGATAAACACGTGACAAGTTATCTACAGGTGTGTGTATATGTGGGGGGAGGGAGGGGAGGTGTGTGCTTGCTCTCTCTCTCTCTCTCTCTCTCTCTCTCTCTCTCTCTCTCTCTCTCTCTCTCTCTCTCTCTCTCTCTCTCTCTCTCTCTCTCTCTCTCTCTCACACACACACACAAACACATTTAAAGACAAAATAATGTTCTGTGTATTTGTGGAATCGTCTAGCAAGTTACTTTACATAGATTACCGTAAGGCAATTACACTAATGTTTCCCCTCCACCTTCCCTCAACCCTCCCTCCCTTCCCTACCCTACCCTAGCCTTACCCCTCCTCTTGCTTCCTCACCTCTACCGTCACCCACCTTCCCTCACTGCCTCCCTTAACCCCTCACCCTACCTATCACCACCACTCCCCATCTCTACCCTGAACCACTCTTAAATTTACCCATATTTCCTCTCGTTTCATTGTACAAGGCATACTCACATACAAAACATACATAAACATACACAGAAACATTGAAACAGACACATACACAACGTTAAAATTCCTGAGATTATGGGAAATTAATACTTGTATAATAGGTATCGGATGCAAAAGATAAGCACAAACACACACACACATGCACTCGCAAGCACACACGCATGCACACACAAACATACACACTCACACACACATGCACACACAAGCACATACAAACACGCACGCATGCACACACAAACATACACACTCACACACACATGCACTCGTTTAGCACACACAAATACGCACCCTTGTACACGCATTCACACGCAAACACACACAAACACACACAAACACGCATACACACAAACACACACAAAACCCTCTTAACCACAGTGATCACATAAGAACCATTTTTAATTCAGTGAAAATGCACAATAAACCGCACTTCATCCCACACTCCTAAATTTCAGATTCCAAACTATTTATAGAGAAATCCCACGCACTGTCCCCCAAGTTTTAATTAAAATGTAGATAATATACACCGTTTAAATTTCATACTATATAAATAAAACATTAGACAGAGCACATTTCTGTAAAATTCAATTATCATAAATGCTCAACGACGTCGAAGAACGTACCTGGAAGCCATTTATATATGGATTATTTAAGATAATCCATAGGATAATGATATTTAGTGAAAGGAATTGGATATCATGTGAGGTCTAGGATAACTAGTGGGAAAACAGATCGTTTTATTGTTGATGAATTTTTGTGTTGGAAATAAAGAATATAAAGAATTTTACATTTTTTGAAGTGTAATTGTCTATTCTGCTTCAGGCGCGACCCGACAACATGTTCACTATTGTTTAAAGCATTTAGATGAGGAGTTTATTACTTGTATTGTTCCTATACCACAGACATGGGTTCGATTCCTGTAAAGTGATATATATATATGATATATGATATATGATATATATATATATATATATATATATATATATATATATATATATATATATATATATATATATATATATATATATATATGTGTGTGTATATCACGAAAATAAACACGTGATTAAGAATGTGACAATGTCAGACCACGGAGGAAAAATGAAACAGGAAATTTCCTTAAGTACTTTCGTATATTAAATACATCTTCAGAAGGTATTTAAAATGGACCTTCTGAAGATGTATTTAATATACGAAAGTACTTAAGGAAATTTCCTGTTTCATTTTTCCTCCGTGGTCTGACATTGTCATATATATATATATATATATATATATATATATATATATATATATATATATATATATATATATATATATATATATATATATATATATATAAAATAAATATATAGAAATAGCAGAAATAAAACAGAAATCCCTTCCATTTTAAAACCTAATAAAGTCAAAGTCTAGAGAATATCAATAAAATGTATTGTACACTGTCTCTTCTGCATGACCCTAAAATGTATTGTACACTGTCTCTTCTGCATGACCCTAAAATGTATTGTACACTGTCTCTTCTGCATGACCCCAAATAATGACAAAATCTGTAAACTACAAAAGTTGAGACAGCGTGACGGGTGAGAAAATAATGTTGACTGCCAGAACAGATTATTTTTGCAATTCTACAATATCTAGCTGAGCAGTGTTGCATTGCACAAAAATTGCATTATGGGCTTGCAGTGTGTGTGGAAAGGAGACAATTTGAACAGTCTATTACTCTTTTTAGTCTATTAAGATTACATTTGAGTGCTGATGTATTGCTGTGTCACACACACACACACACACACACACACACACACACACACACACACACACACACACACACACACACACACACACACACACACACACATACACACACACACACACTTAGGTGAGAAGGTGGTGGAGGCCAAGACCGTCAGTAGTTTCAAAGCGTTATATGACAAAGAGTGCTGGGAAAACGGGACACCACGAGCGTAGCTCTCATCCTGTTACTACACTTAGGTAATTACACACACACACACACACACACACACACACACACACACACACACACACACACACACACACACACACACACACATACATCACGGTAGTAATTTTTTTATGTTATCTGGAGACTAAGGAGAGAACCTTATGTTATTCTTTTCAATTTCTGTTATATAAATATGAAATACCTTTAACACTTAACAGGAGACGAAAGCTTAGTTATACCAACAGATTACCTTCACGTAAGTCTAAGTCTCAGTCTTTCAGTTCCTCTCTCACTGGTCATCCCACTCTTTCGTACTCTCCCCTTCTCTCTCATCCTTTTCTCCATTCTCTCATCCTCTTTCATACCTTCTTTCTCTAATATTTCATATCCTCTTATCGCCTCTCTCGCATATGTTATCTTTCTATTGTCTTCATTCGTTACTTCTATGTCATTCTCTCATGCTTTTTTTTCTCGATCTTCTCTTCATTATCATAATCTCTTGTTCAGTCCTCTTCCTGTCTGTGTTTTCCCTTACCTCTTACTTTCATTTCTGCTCTTCTTGCCTATCTCCCTACCTTCTCTCTTCCATCCTGTCCTCGTACTCCGTGCATCTTCTATTTTTCATTCTCATCTCTTCTCTCTCCCTTATTTCTTATTGTTCCATCTCGTTTCTCTCCCTGTTTTATCTCCTTTTTCACATGTCTTATCCTCCAAATCAATAACTCATATTCTCTCTCTCTCTCTCTCTCTCTCTCTCTCTCTCTCTCTCTCTCTCTCTCTCTCTCTCTCTCTCTCTCTCTCTCTCTCTCTCTCTCTCTCTCTCTCTCTCTCTCTCTCTCTCTCTCTCTCTCTCTCTCTCTCTCTCTCTCTCTCTCCTCTCTCCCTCTCTCTCTCTCTCTCTCGCTCTTCTTTTAATCTCCAACATCTTATTCTCCTGTGTCCTCAGCCTCTTATCCAATCCCCCTCTCCTTCCTTTCTTATCTCCTTTCCCTTCTATTTCCTCAGCCTTCCCCATCTCGTTCTTCACTCACATCCTCTCTCTCATCTCTTACCTCTCCCTTTCTCATCTACTCCTTCTCCCTCCCTCATTTGCTCTCCTTTTCCTGCATCATATCCATCCCCTATCTCATCTGAGTATCCTCTCCCTGTCCCTCTATTCTCCTTTCTCTCCCTCTATCTTCCTCTCTCTCTCTCCGTCTATCCTCCTCTCTCTCTCTCCCTCTACCATCTCCCTCTTCTCCCATATAGAGGACCTAACAGAGCAACCGGACACTCGATCCCCCGTCATCCCTGTCACGAGAGCCAGTCAAAAGCAGTTGGGTGTTTGAGCAACATTATTCCTCTCGCCAGAATTTGGTTATGTGAAAGCTTTAAAAAACCAACAATGAATTCCAGCCTTTTTCGACAGGAGTAAAGAAATAAATACCGAAATAAATACAATTATACAGGGACATTGGGCTAGGCTTTGTCGTGGTGTTTTATTTAATAATGTGTAGTTCTATATTCGCTTGCAAGTGACGGTTGTTAAAGGTTAAGGTCAGAAAGGAATAACACCAAAACATTGTCAATGATTTAAAGCTATATAGAGGTTAATTTGGCACTGTAAATAAAACTGGAATGTCAGTGATATATAGCTATTCAGTTAGTATGTAAGTCACTGCAAATAATAGTAAGTAAACGTCTATTAAGAATTAATAAATAATCTATATTTATTTGGGAGGGAAGGGACAGAGGTTTTAAAGCCTATATATAGGGCTCCAGCTCATGGGTTCTGCCTTTGGGGGAAAAAATAGGTATTTTCATCACCGTATATAAATCCGAAGATTTGTTTAGTCTCCCATAATTAGTTCCTCCTAATTTTTGTTTGTTAATTGACAGAAAACCAATTTGTAATATTACGGGGGGTCTTAGGAAACAACCTCGGGTCGGATATAGAAATAAACATTGTACAGTGACTCACAGTATTCTTAAGATACACCGTGGGCCACAGCAGTGAAGATGGTACAGTGATTCTCTTCTTAAAAAAAATTGAGAAGGTCTCTTTTGGATACAAAACAATATTTTCGCATATTGTTTGATAGAAAAAGCTATCTGCTAGGAGCAAGTACTTTCATAGCCTCTCTACCCCCTTCCATCTGTCTCTAATTTCTCAACTCTCTTATCCATCCCACGTCTCCCTTCCCCTCCTCTCCCATCCCTTCCACATCTCCCGTTCTCCTTCCCTTGCCGCTTTTCCCTCTACTTACACTGGACTTTGAGGGTGATTCTCTTGGAGACGGAAGGAGGGACGTCGTTGGAGGCGATGCACAGGTAGGCGCCCATATGGAGCCTGGAGACTGAGGGAATGTGCAGGACCTCGGAGTCTGTCACCTTCACTGTGGACACCAACGGGAGAACTCGTGTTAGAAGGGCGAGGCGAGGCAGGGATGGTGTTAGGACAAGGACAGTTTGGAGTGTTATATTAGGACAAAATAAGGCAGGAAAAGTGTTAGAAAGACAAGGTGAAGGTGTTAGAAGGACAAAGTGATGCAGAGGAATGCTTACGACAAGTAGAGGCAGGAATCACATATTTATAATTCATAATCATAATTCAAAACAGACCAATTGTCAAATTATCGAGACAAAAGCTGCAGAGTGCCTATTAAGTCTACCCTTAACTCATAGAAAACGGGGAATGAAAGGGGAACTGTAGTGAATGTATTTCCCCCTACTCATTGTCGAAGACATAAACCGGAATAGGCTTAGGAAAGTCCCCATAGGCCAACGATTAACAGACAATCCCCCCCCCCCCGCCCCCTGGATGCATTCTGCAACGGTTGTTAAACTCCCAGGTACTTATTTACTGCTTGGTGGACAGAGGCATCAGGAAATGTGGCTCAACATCTTGTCCTGCGCTGGAATCGAACCTGGGACCATTCGGGAGTGAAACAATTGTGTTGACCATTGCGCTACGGAATACAATCTTATGATAGTAGTTGCAAGTAATATTAGCTCCAGGTAACACCGATAGCTTTAAGTAACACAAAAAGTAATAGAGATAGCTGACACTAACAATGGCAGGTGACACTGACAACGATAGCTGACACTAACAACGATAGCTGGCACTAACAACGATAGCTGACACTAACGACGATAGCTGACACTAACAACGATAGCTGACACTAACAACGATAGCTGGCACTAACAATGATAGCTGACACTAACGACGATAGCTGACACTAACAACGATAGCTGGCACTAACAACGATAGCTGGCACTAACAACGATAGCTGGCACTAACAATGATAGCTGACACTAACAACGATAGCTGACACTAACAACGATAGCTGACACTAACAACGATAGCTGACACTAACGACGATAGCTGACACTAACAACGATAGCTGACACTAACAACGATAGCTGGCACTAACGACGATAGCTGACACTAACAACGATAGCTGGCACTAACGACGATAGCTGACACTAACAACGATAGCTGACACTAACAACGATAGCTGGCACTAACGACGATAGCTGACACTAACAACGATAGCGGACACTAACAACGATAGCTGACACTAACAACGATAGCTGACACTAACAACGATAGCTGACACTAACGACGATAGCTGACACTAACAACGATAGCTGACACTAACAACGATTGCTGACACTAACAACGATAGCTGACACAAACAACGATAGCTGACACTAACAACGATAGCTGGCACTAACAACGATAGCTGACACTAACAACGATAGCTGACACTAACAACGATAGCTGGCACTAACGACGATAGCTGACACTAACAACGATAGCTGACACTAACAACGATAGCTGGCACTAACGACGATAGCTGACACTAACAACGATAGCGGACACTAGTCTAACAGGCACTTCACGCTACAGAGTAAGGTACCATTAAAACTGACGTCCACAAGAACTGGCATTGAATGAAGCCGCCTCAGTCCTTCAGACTATTCAAATCACCAAATAAAATTACATTTAATTCAATAACTCATTAAATATTACAACAATAAACAAAAATTGATGTAAAATCCATTTGAAAATGATACAGTTGAGTATACACAGGTATACAATGTAAATTATACAAAGCCGCTAATACGTAGAGACAGGACAAGAGTTTCTACATGGCCGCCTCGTAGGAAACTAAAAACATTTCAAGTTAATGATATTAACTTATATACCCCAAAAGAGCGCAGTTAATTCTCTCGCTTGTGTTAAAGTCCTCAAGGAACACAACACTAAAAGCAACTTAAGGAAACCGGACGCGAATTCTTAAAAGGCACTTCCGTAAATTGTTTCCTTAGTGGTGAGAGTGAGTTGCTACGTCGCCAGGACCGTCCTACGTTTACGTAGAATATAAAGAAGGAATATCTGGAGTTGGGGGAGTTGTCCGGTGGGGGCGCTGAAGGGGAGAAAGGTGGTGGGTCGTCCGGTGGGGGTGCTGGATAGGATGGGATTAGGAGAGTGGGTAGGCTTGGTTGTCCAGAGGGGGTATTGGAGAGGGATGGGCTGGGATAGGGAGAGGTGGGTTTGGCCGTCCAGATGGGGGTGTTGGAGAAGCTGGGGGAGAGAGGTAGGTCGTCCAGTTGGTGGTGATGGAGTAACACAGGCGGAGAAATAGACGGAGGTCGTCCAGACCTCCGGAGAGGCTTGGCAGGAAAGGGAATAGGTTGGGGAGTGAGGAGGGTCGTCTAAAGAGGTGCTAGAGAGGATGAACCAGGAGGAGAGGGACATGTGGATGGTTTGGGTCATCCAGAGGAGTGTTAGAGATGGAATAGGTGCAGAAAGGGATGCGGGGTCGTCCCTAGTGGTTCAACACACAGGTAGTTGAAGTCGGGATAAGGATTATGAGCGGTAGTAGGGTTGTAGACGTTGTGAGGTAGGATATTAGGCGGTGACATGGGAAGGGAACTGCAATGAACCCAGCGAACACCAGTTTTTTTTTTTTCCTTTCTGGGGATGAGAAGAGATTAAGAAAAAAAAGTTGTCGGACATGGAGCTCTGAACTTATAAACAAAAAGAAGCGTCCTCACTTTAGGTTGTTTATATACTGTATCTTAGACTATGGTCAGTATATTACCAAGACTACTTGAAGAAAAGGAATTACTCGGAGAATCTTCCAAGTGCTCTAATGTCTTTACAGAATGTTGCTAATTAAAAATCAATTAATGATAAGTGCTCGATGAAGCAGTCAGGAATTAAATATACTTAAAATACACACACACACACCACACACACACACACACACACACACACACACACACACACACACACACACACACACCAGAGCTCAACCCCCGCAAGCACAACTAGGTGAGTACACCTAGGGGCCTCGCGTCTGAGTGGACAGCGCTCTGGGGTCGTAGTCCTAAGGGCCCGGGTTCAATCCTCGGCAGAGGCAGAAACAAATAGACATAGTTTCTTTCACCCTGATGTACCTGTTCAACTGGCAGTAAATAGGTACCTGGGAGTTAAACAGCTATTAGGGGCTGCTTCCTGGGAATGTGTGTGTGTGTGTGTGCGTGTTTGCGTGCATTGTGCTCAAGTCAGTGCTACCAACACCTTCAAACAACAAAGCCTTTCGTCTCCTGGCAACAGCTGGGAACCCTCTTCCTTGCCCCGAGGTCAAAATGCCGTGTGATACGACTCTCCGGGTGATAGATTTATCACCATGTTGACCTCAGCCAATTTCCCGTCACTCCTAGCGCAGATTATTGGAGGTAGAACTCCTCGAGGGTTTTGAAAGTGAGATGGATTTATATTTTATTGGAGGTAAAAGGATTTAATTATATTTCGGAGGTAACGCGATTTAATATCATTGGAGGTGAACTACCTTCCTTAGGTTGCACTTTAAGTTCACGTTTGAGGAATCGTGGGGATTCTCCGTATCTTTCTGCTTCCTTATATTCTCTCTCTCTCTCTCTCTCTCTCTCTCTCTCTCTCTCTCTCTCTCTCTCTCTCTCTCTCTCTCTCTCTCTCTCTCTCTCTCTCTCTCTTTTCTTCCCAAATTACTATTATGCTGAAGTTGGTGGAATTTGATTTACTCTGGACGTGTTCCAGGTCTTGATAAATGCAAAAAAGCAAAGAAAAAATCTACCATCTGAACTATAGATCGAATTCTTTATCATGTTTGGTCTGGAAGATGATCTCTCTTCAAGATACCCTCTCTGGGAGAACAATGGTTCACTCGTCTACTAGGTCACTGGTCCACTGGTTCACTTGTTAACAGGTTCACTTCTCCAATGGTACATTGGTCCAGTGGTCAACTAGTCCTCTGATCTTTCCAGAGGAGACCAGCGTGCAGAACTACCTCCGGAAGCTGTCCATAGCCTTGGAACCATTTCAAAGAGATACTGAAAACGGGAGAGAGAGAGAGAGAGAGAGAGAGAGAGAGAGAGAGAGAGAGAGAGAGAGAGAGAGAGAGAGAGAGAGAGAAAAGAGTGGGTAGCAGGTATCTGATGTTTTTATCCTTCCTTTTAATAATTATAAGGGACACCTGATAACCTATTGCCTTCTGTTAGTGGAGAAAGTGTTTCATTGTCTATATATACTAGGTGGGAGGGGGTTATCGTCGCTTGGGTTTGTCTGTCTGTATGTCTGTCTCTCCCCTCTCCTCCCTCTCTCTCTCGCTGGGTGACAACCAATGTCATCCAATATTTGTCTAACATTGGTTCTTACAAAGGGACGGTGACCTGACAAGCATGGAACAAGATCATTCCCATTCCTCTTTTAGCAGCTTTCTCCTCTCTTGTTATTACTGTGTGTGTGAAATAGATTTTACAGATATGACAAAGAAGAATAAATTGTAGAATCTGTATTTTAGACAACCGGTTTTTACAAAGGCGGGATCCAAGAGCTAACTAATCCCCCTCTTCCCTCCATCTACCTTACCTCTCCCTCCCTCCTGCCCCACAGGAGACCAGGCTCCCTCACAATAGTTCTAAGTGACAGGTGAGCCTAGAGCGTCAGTTACCTGGGATTACCAGCTCCCAACTCCCTACCTCACGAATACCAAGTGTTGGGGGAGGCGAGGGGAGAGGGAGGGAAGGGTGGGTGGGGGGGAAGGGGAGGGAAGGAGAGAGGGGAAAGGAGGGAGAGGAGGAAAATAATTAGGGGAGGAGACGGATGGGTGAGAGAGGTTGAAGAGAGGTAGAGATGGGGCCAAAATGAGGAGGAAGGGAAAGAGGGGGAGGAATGAGGGAAGAAGGAGAGGCGTGAGAGGAGAGGAGTGAGGGAAGGGGAGGAGAGAGATAAACAAGAATAATGAAGAATGGAGAAGCGTAAAAATAATGAGAGAGAAAGGAGAAGGAAGGAATGAAGAGTGATGATAAGGACTACTGCCAGAATGGTGAAGTAGAGGTGAAAATTGGGATAAATCGGAGGAGGAAATAGCAGGAAGAAAGGAAATGGAGAGAAAGACCCTTTCATTTACCTCCTCTCCTTTCTCATACGTCTCCTCTTCTCCTTTCCCATATATCTCTCCTCTGACATGCCTCCCCTTCTGTCCTCTCCCATACATCCTTCCACCTCCAAACATCTCTTCCTCTCCATTCATTTCATCCACTTCCATATATCTCCTCCTATACTCTCCTATACATATCTTCCTTTTCTCATCTCCTCTCCTCTCCCATACATCTCCTGCTCTCCCATCCATCTCAAGCATCCCCTCCCTCCTCCCTATCCCCCATGCACCGCCCCTACACATTAATCACAGTATGTGGGTTGAGAACTTAATAACCATCTGTACTGTGTATAAGAGAACAGATCTCAGACGCTGTCTATGTAGGGGTGACGGAGACGCTTGTGTTGTGTGTTGGTTAGTATTGTAAAAACAATCACATTGTGTGGTTGAGTACTCAATAACATCTAGACTACACCAGCGTAGGGATTTAGACTATGGGGGGATAAATGGGGGGGTCTGGGGCATTTCAAATTCAGGGGGGGGGAGGGGAGGGCAATGAACGTAGACATTTAATAACATGATAAATGTAAATTACAATGGTGATAAACCATTTGAGGAAGAGTGTTTAATATGACAAATGGTTTTTAGATTTTTTTACCTGGTCAAATTGATAAAAAAAATCTCACCCTGGTAATCTCACCCTGGTAAACTCACCCTGGTAAACTCATCCTGGTAAACTCATCCTGGTAATCTCATCCTGGTAAATGGTAAAATAGTCAAGGCTTAGATTGATTTTTGCCGCCTTTTTGTCTTTATATTTTCTAACGTCTCCCACACACTCTGTTGATTTTTGTTAATAATGAAGCTAATTTTACAATTATTACAATTTATCTTATAAAGGAAGTTTGGGAGCTGAATGAATGAATGAATTAAATATAGGTCAAGATTTCCTATAGGGTGAGTGGGGAAGTGGGGGATAGGGGAAGAATTGGTGGGGGTGATAGGAAGGGTTTTTAGGATGAGGTAAAGTGCCATGGTGAGAGCCAGTTGCGTTGCATTAAAACATTATGACCACACTAAGCAATGGAGGCAAGGAGTTTGATTTTTGTGACAACATTGCGTCTTTCTGCAGGCGATGAGTCACAATAACGTGGCTGAAGTATGTTGACCAGACCGCACACTAGATGGTGAAGGGACGACGACGTTTCGGTCCGTCCTGGATCATTCTCAAGTCGATTGTGTCTTTCAGCGCGACCCACGGAGATGCTGCCCTCGGCTGGGTGATGTGCCCCGGGGGCTCACACCAGTTGTGGTCCTGGATTTTGCTAATCAGCATCGTGCCCCGCCCAGAGTCACTAGTAAACGGGAGGTAACAGGTTCCCCTTTGCAAGCTCCTTTGGCAGTTGGGGCCCGGGGTAATTGCCCCCTCTGCCCCCTTCCTTTGCCCACCCTATTAAATCCAGCCTTGTATACACCCTCACAGACTCACTCTCCCACTCTAACTGCCTTCTCAACCCAAACGCCCTTCTTTATCCTTGCCCCTCCCCGTTCCTCACCCATCCCAATCCTTCACTCCCCTCCCCATCCTTTACTCCCCTCCCCATCCTTCACCCCCTCCCTAACCCTCGCTGCCCAGCCCCGAGGGGATACAGAGAGCCAGACTTCCTTAATGAGGTGAACCGAGGAATCCCACAATTCTCCTGAGAAAAATAAAAACGTTTCCTAGAAGGATCTAGCACACATTTTGTTGTAAACACAAAGCTAGAGAAAATATATGTGGAATGTCATTCATATATATATATATATATATATATATATATATATATATATATATATATATATATATATATATATATATATATATATATATATATATATATATATATATATATAAACTCTAAGAACTCTAATTGACCCGGCCAGGATCCGAACCCATGCCGTCCAGGATCACCCCTAAACGTTCCCAGTTCCGTGACCACCGCACTAATAGACGATCACTGGTGCGGTGGAGAGATCTTAGTGATCTCTGGCTTGCGTGTTCCTGTGAATAGTACACAGGCCTCACTTGAAATACTTGTAAGTTACAAATATACTTCCTAGAACTAGAACCTCCGCCCGCGTGATGCTAAGCCGAGTGTTGCACCACTGCATGGACAGCTAAAAATGGGCCCTCGTGGCTCAGCGGTGAGCGCAGTTAGGTCACGCCGGAAAGGCCCCATGTTCGATTCATGCGGAAAGACAGAAGCGTTTTGGCAACGTTTTCATTCGCTGGATAACTTTGTCTCCTTAGTAGTAATATAGGGAAGGGTCAGTTGTATGTGTAAGGGAACCGCGACTAGTTTAGCAGACTACAGGAAAACCGTTTTTAAAACGTTAGAACCAAACTAAGAAAAACGTGAAAAATCGAGTAAATGCATTAAGCTAAAAATGCTTGAAAGGGTGAGCAAGGGCCACAGCTACAGTCATCCAGGGAAGTCTTACAAACACACTTACAGTTGATGCCATTGTTTATATCTATCTTGCCACCATCCTCCCTCTTCCATGATATGACCGGCTTGGGAGAGCCCCTGGCACGACACTCCAGCGTCACGTCTTGACTCTCCTTCACTACCACCTCCGAGCTGCTCTCCTCGTCGATGATGTCCGGCGGCACTGGCGGGGAGAGACAAGAGTGTGAGGATGTACAGATGTGATTTACCATGAAGAATTAACAGAATTAAGGATATTATATAAAGCCGTTTAGTTTTGTTTCTAACATTTCAAGTGTAATGAACAGATGTTATTTATAAAGATTTTTAACTTTGTGTTTAATATTTCAAGTGCAAATAGGTTCGCAGGCAGGTTGCTATGTTACGGTTTAAGCGGCTTCAAGAACCTGAAACATTTGTTCAGGTAGAAAATGAACGTGCTACGGTTAATCAAAAGTTGATCTAAGAGACAATTATTTCTAATAATTTCATCCAGGAATTACCAATTTAATCGGAATCTTTCATTCCACTTCCAAAATACTTGCATAAACGCAATTTTCGTGAGGTATTCCACTGATATTCATGCGTTGGGCTGAAAGTTAAGTCCTAGCTACGGTAGTAATGAAGTATTGGTCGTGGTTATGTAGCACAACTAATGACAGCACGAGTGGCACGCTGCACTTAGACTTGGCACTTCTTCCTGCTTGTTTCTCAGGACAGACAGACGAGAAGGTGATAGAATCCTGCGCCAGTACACTCAAGATAGGGAGGAGTTGCAAGGTGATGTTGATGAAGACGGGGAGTGGGAGTATGCGACGGGGAGAGGGGAATGTTACCGGGAGTGTGAGAGGGGGAGCAGGTTACCGGTAGTGTGAGGGAGGGAGGGTTACCGGTGCTCTAAGGGGGGGGGGGGGGAGGGTAACATAAAAGCATGAGGTGGGGGGGGGGGGGGGTGTGGGGGTGGGGGGAGATGGTAAACTCTCTCTCTGCTCTTGACGCACGCATCAACTCCTTCATCAACGTCTCTGTGTTGCAATTGCTTAAAAAATCCTCAAATTGACCTCCAGGGACGAGCCACTTGGCTCCAGACAGCGTTTATGAAGACCGTTAACTTCACCTTGGCCCCCCCCCCCCTGGCCCGCTGGGAGGGGTGGCGGGGGGAGGTTCTGTTGATCTTCTGTTACTGATGTTACTGGTAGTGGAGGTGGTGCTGGTAGTTGTGGTGGTGGTGTTGGTAGTTGTGGTGGTGGTGGTAGTTGTGATGATGGTAGTGGTGGTGGTGCTGTTGCTGTTGCTCCAGAAGACTACCCTAACAATGGCAAGCTTGGAAAACACGACTGACGATGTCCACTTGATGTGAGCCTCAGTTGTTATGGTCATACTAAGCAGCTGTCACCGTGATATTGTTCGCTGTGTTTGGAGGTCTTCACACCCCGGTTCATATGCTTGTACCTCCACCTTTGTCTGGCCTGAAGTTCAGTAGACACTTTTCAGACATTCTTAGGGGGGAAAGTATGTTGACCAGACCACACACTAGAATGTGAAGGGACGACGACGTTTCGGTCCGTCCTGGACCATTCTCAAGTCGATTACTTTAGCCACGTTATTGTGACTCATCGCCTGCATTCTTAGGGGGAATGTGCTTCGAAGTCCACAGCGTTCCTGCTGCGTTCCTCGTTTTCTTGTTGACAGTTTTTTGTGAGCAAGTTATCTTCTTTGCTACGCTTATGAGCTCCAGCCAATCACGTTATCACTCCTGCCGTGACGTCGAATTGGCGTTAGTGGTACTCGCGGGTTTAAATGATTGACTGATTATATGTTCATAAGTTGGCAGTGCGTGTCTTTAAGCCCCCTCGTTAGTAAAATGGCGGCATTCGTCAAATTACTATGTATTGGAAGTGGAAATTGACGCAATAGAAATGGAGTACCATATCGTCACAGTGTTTGTGTGTGTGTGTGTCCTCAAACACAAACAACACGCTAATCCTCCCCCTGTACATACACACAAACACCACACACACATATGCATCCTCCCTCCCCCATATACACAAACACCCAACACATACATACATCCGCCCACACACATTATCATCAACTTCACCAAAATGAGAAAGCTTCATGTTATGCTTGCGGCAGACACTGAACTTCATCCATATCTCCCGTTGAGTTCCGTACACGAGACTCCGCTAATGTTTACACGTCTTGTATGGGATAATTGAGCGCTCGCTCTAGCTGAGGTGGAAGGAGGGAACAGACGTCGGCCATTCGAGGACAGAGAGACAAACAGAGATAGGGAGAGAGTTTAGAGCCTGTTAATCACATGATTCCTCTTAGTGTGGTGTACAGATTAATGTGTCTGGAACTGTGTGAAGGGAGCAGCAGCGTCCAAGACCCCACAATATGCAACGATTCTGCTGCTTATGGACGCCCTATTTCCCCGTAAAGCCGGATATAACAAACTTGTACAACAAGTTGGCCACTTGCGCGATGTCCTTCATGCTCTCTCTCTCTCTCTCTCTCTCTCTCTCTCTCTCTCTCTCTCTCTCTCTCTCTCTCTCTCTCTCTCTCTCTCTCTCTCTCTCAGATCGACAGGGCCACTGTTTTTTCCTCCGATTACCGTAGAACTCCCGAGAGTTTTCTCTCCCGGACACTATGTTGAGTGCTGCTATGTTGGGGTACGACGTCCGGAACCGGACAGTAAAACTTCCCTTATTCCGTCTGGCCCGCCACCCACTCTGTCCTCAGACGATCTCAGCTCAGAAACTTGGATCTCACACACACACACACACACACACACACACACACACACACACACACACACACACACACACACATCTACGTCGTACGTCATGAGACGTAGAGGCCTTCAAACTATTGCAACTCTACTACCACCACCATCACAAGGAACACTTATGTCAACATTAAGCTCGCCTACATCATGACGGTGACCATCAAGTGATGGTCACTACACACCATCACCGTCAAAACACCAGTGTCCGAGCTGGCCCTATCCTTCTAGATGGAACAGTGTCCGAGCTGGCCCTATCCTCCTAGATGGAACAGTATCCAGGGCCTCTCCGAGCCCAGCAACCACACACAGCAACCACACCCGGAAACGAGGCGCACCAAACCTTGTAAACTCTCCCAGAGAGTTTTAACTCTGCGAGGCGGTGAACAGCTTGAGAGCTTTGGTTTTAACTAAGCTGAAGCGACAAAGGTAACGACAAAAATGAAGGGATAAAACGCCGACTCTCTGTCTGTCGGCGTTTTCTCTTGCTGACTGACAGGACGTTTTCTCTCGTCGACAGACAGGTCGTTTTCTCTCGTCGACAGAGAAGTCGTTTTCTCTCGTCGATATGTCGTTTTCTCTCGCCGATAGACAGATCGTTTTCTCTCGTCACGGCGGCTGCTGTTCAGGGAAGACTGCACAAGTATCGCCACTTAGGTATATTGCCCTGAGCAAGAAGGTAGAGAGAGAGTGAGAGAGGCGATCAAATTGTCAACGACTGCGGCAGTCTCTCAAGAAGTTTCCTCCTTGAGCAGAGAGGTCGCCGGCGTTATTGTGTTTGTGATGATGTGGCCAAACTTTTCTCGATGGATTGGTTCACTTGGCCCCCTCCCGGCCATACCCACCCAGAACTGATCAAGTTTTCTGACTTATACGACCCGTAAAACTTCTCATCGGTGGCGTGGAGGGCGTAGAGCTTCTTCAACCCGGTAGTCGGGCCTCGGACTGGACCGGATAAGGTCCTAAGCGGCGCCGGTCTGGATATGGCTCAGGCTCTTCCTGGTGGATTTAAGTTGGCTGAAGCTTTTTCCCACTCAGTCTAGATACTTGATAAGTTTTGATATGGTAGGACCATTCAGGAATCTATTAGTGATTTCCTGTCAAGTTTGAGACTGAGAGACTTTCAAAGTTTCAACTTGGTAATATTTCAAGTCCCATCGCACATATTATTTTAAAACGTTTTTATTTCTAAAAATAGGTTCAGTTAAAATGTAATAATCAAAAGCTTGTGTTCCTCTTTCCTTATTACTTTAGTATGAAATAGTATTAATTCCGTATATCTGTTTCTCCAGCAAAGTCTCAATGATGGATTATTAATTATTCTGTGAAGTAATGCAAGTTCTCTCCTTCGCTAAAGACAAAACACCCATTACTGCCCTAGGCCATCTACTTTCGTTCTACTATCTTCCTTCATAATACAAAAGTAGTAGATAATAGCTTCAGTAATCCTAAAATAACTCTAAATATCGTCTAGCAGAAGTATTAGAAGGTAATATAATAACCTTGGTAGAGTCGTTCTCAATCTGGGTTTTTTAACTCTCTGGTCTCTCTCTCTCTCTCTCTCTCTCTCTCTCTCTCTCTCTCTCTCTCTCTCTCTCTCTCTCTCTCTCTCTCTCTCTCTCTCTCTCTCTCTCTCTCTGTCTCTCTCTCTCTCTCTCTCTCTCTCTCTCTCTCTCTCTCTCTCTCTCTCTCTCTCTCTCTCTCTCTCTCTCTCTCTCTCTCTCTCTCTCTCTCTCTCTCTCTCTCTCTCTCTCTCTCTCTCTCTCTCTCTCTCTCTCTCATATTCTTCCCTTTGAATAATTCTTGTAGTCTTATTACATATTTCCTCAATACCCAGCTATCTTTAGCAGCTTTAACGAATCTCTGAGCATTCATTTAAACGAACTAAAACGACACACTAATGGTGCCTGTGACCTACTCAACATATTATCTAACTCCGTCAGCTAAACATCCACATGGCTTACTCCATCGGTAGCACAACATGCTTGTAACAGATAAGCACCGTTATAACTCTAACAGCTATAAACATTGGCCAGCTAACACCAGATCTTCCCCTCAGATAACACCAGTTAGCTGAGATCCTGATGTCCTCCCCTCAGCTAACACCAGATCCTCAGCTAACTTCGACAGCTATAGACTTCCTCGACCATGTGTGTTTACGGCGTCTTATTCGCCAGGACAAGGAGACAACTTAGCCAAAGTTGTACCAGCAGCAGATGCGCATACTATGGAGCCTTCCTGGCGAGGAGCCCTTCCATGGGGTCTCTCTCTCTCTCTCTCTCTCTCTCTCTCTCTCTCTCTCTCTCTCTCTCTCTCTCTCTCTCTCTCTCTCTCTCTCTCTCTCTCTCTCAAATATCTCTTTCAAGCTCGCTCTGAATTTGAAACTCTCTCAAATTCACTCTTAAACTCAATCTCAAACCCAACCAAACTCATAAACTCTCTTTAACCCTCTCTCAAACTCTCTCTCTCAAACTCACTATCACTCTCACTCTCTCTCTCAAACTCACTATCACTTTCTCTCTCTCTCTCTCTCTCTCTCTCTCTCTCTCTCTCTCTCTCTCTCTCTCTCTCTCTCTCTCTCTCTCTCTCTTTCTCTCTCTCTCTCTCTCTCTCTCTCTCTCTCTCTCTCTCTCTCTCTCTCTCTCTCTCTCTCTCTCTCTCTCTCTCTCTCTCTCTCTCTCTCTCACTTTCTCTCTCACACTCACGAAAATGCTACCTGAGTTTCTCGGTGCTGTTATCGCCTAAATTCAAGATCCTGTAATCTATACCCGAAAAATTAATTTGTATTTGCACATCCGGGATTTTATTTACTTCAGCTTTACAAAAGCACTTACGTTAATTACATGAAATACAGGAAAAGGTTCATGAGAGCAGCGAGTAGTTTCTTATGGGTATACTCGACTGTATTAGGGTTGTATTCTACTGTAATATGTTTCTTCGCTACTGTATCTGGGTTCTATTGCACTGTATTAGGGTTGCACTCCTCTGAATCATTGGTTGTATTCTACTGTACTGGGGTAGAACTCTATTGTATCGAGGTTGGGTTTCAGTGTATTGGGATATTACTCTGCTATATCAGGGTAATATTCGACTATACTAGCGTTGTATGTAGCTGTATTCTACTGTATAAGAATTATATTATACTGTATCGGTGTTGTACTCTACTCCAGTGGGGTTGTACTCAACAATACTGGGGTTGTATGCTACTTTATTAGAATTGAACTGACCAAATTTACAAGGGGCCATGATGAGGGTTCGAACCTATGCGTTGAGTGTTCCATGACGCCCCTTAGTCAACTGTACCACAACATGGTCAAAAGAATTGCAACTTGGAGTGCTACTGGCTTCACGAGGATCTCTTTCATCACGATCCTTGTGGATTTCTTCATTTGATATATCATGTCATTGGGATTTGTGTGTGTATTGAATTGAACTCTATCCCCTATCAGGGTTCTACTCTACTGTACCGGGGTTGTACTAAACTGGATCAGGGTTGAACTCTACTGCATTGAGTATGTTTTCTACTACATCAAAGTTGTATTCTATTGAATTGAGGATTGTATTCTCAAGCACATGTGATTTGTGGATGAACTCTTCTATATTAGAGGTATTGTATTTGGGTTGAATTCTACTATATTGGGTTTATATGTTACTGTATTAGGGTTGTGTGCTATTGTATGAGAATTGTACTTTAGTCTATAGGGGTTGTATTCAACTGTATATATATATATATATATATATATATATATATATATATATATATATATATATATATATATATATATATATATATATATATATATATATATGAAACCAAAAACAAGAAGTAACAGAAGCAACTAGCAGCTAGCGGACATCAACGTAGGGAAAGCAAGAAAAGCGAGGAATCATTCAGAAGGACGTTCCCTGAATGGTAATGGGTCTTTAGACCGTGCAGTAGTTAACGGCTATGTTAATCATCTCAGTAATGACCGCCCTAAACATCAAACTACTCACTTGTTTACCTTAATACACATTGACCTGCTCTCTCTCTCTCTCTCTCTCTGTGCAAGGACAAGCTTTCTAAACTCAATAGCTTCGCTTAGTTGCTCATTTCAGTAGTTCTGTTTCATTATAAATCTTAATATCTTTGTCTATCAATCTTAATATCTTTTGTTTATAAATTCTAATAGTTTTGTATCATTGTAAATCTCAAATGTTTTGTTTCGTTATAAATATTATTAATTTTGTTTCATTATAAATCTCTTGGTTTTGCTGTAAAGTAAAAATAAGATACAATTAGATAAGATGAAAATCTTATCCTTACATGATTAATAAAATACACATCTGTTTTTTTGATCGATCAAAATAATCGTTTCTACTGTGAACATCAGAGTACATAATATTATCGACCTGATCAACACAAAACATGTGATTATCACTCAAATCCATAGGAAAAGTTCTTTGGTTTTCTCTCTGATTATGAAATATCTGATTCCAAATCTGATCGATAGAAAGTTACTAGTTTTCACGCTGATTGATATAAATATCTATGGTTCTCACCCAGCTCTTTCAAAATCTATGATGCTGGCCCTAATCCTATTAAAATGTTTTATCCGGGAATTTAAAAAAATTGTTCCACTCCTACTTATTTGAAAAACTAATTTTGTCACCATAGTCATTCTTTAGTTCTAGTCTTGCTCATCAAGAAACCTCAGTTTAGCACTCTAGTCATCAATGGTATTTATCCTACTCACTTACAATTCATATTTCAGCAATGTACTCATCGAAATATATATATATACGTTTGACACTCATTTGAGAAAAGATAATACATCATATACTCACCTTGTACGTCCAAAAATCCGACTTGGCTCATCATAGGATCGGAGTTGACCTGACACATGTACATGCCTCGATCACTGGGCCTCACGTCAGAGATCTCCAGGTACCAGTGCTTGTGGTCGTTCCTGGCCAGGGAGAAGCGTGGGTTCTTGGTGATGATGGTGTGATGGATGGTGAGGATCGTCTGCGTCTCCACGAAGATCCAGGCCACCTGGAGGAAGAAACAAATCATAGGGGATAGAATCGCATCCTGGAAGGTACTAATCGAGTGACGAATATGGCGGTTTTATTAGACGAAGAGGTTTTGAGATCTAGAAGAGCTCCTGAGATCTTCAAAAAGACGTCTTGAGGGGTTCTTCTATCAGAGTTTTAGGGATCTCCTAGAAAAGATTTGAGCACCTGAAGAAGCTAAATAAGCAAGATTGGGAAGGTATTCGTAAGCTGCCTGGGAATCTCTGGTGGGTCTAAGAATCCCAGTAGGGACCTGGAAATTTTCAGACTGCCCTGAGAACTTTTTGAGGGGCTTGGAAATTTCTGCATGGGCATAGAAGTATCTGAAAGGAGCTGAGAATCCCTGGAGAAGGCTGAGAATATCTGGAGGGGGCTGGGAATCCCTGGAGGGGGGCTGGGAAACCCTAGAGGAGGCTGGGAATCCGTAGAGGGGGGCTGGAAATCCCTGGAGAGGGCTGGGAATCCCTGGAGGGGGGCTGGGAATCCCTGGAGGGGGCTGGGAATCCCTAGAGGGGGGCTGGGAATCCCTGGAGGGGGGCTGGGAATCCCTGGAGGGGGGCTGGGAATCACTGGAGGGGGCTGGGAATCCCTGAAGGGGGCAGGGAATCCCTTGAGGGGGGCTGAGAAACCCTAGAGGGGCTGGGAATCCCTGCAGGGGGGCTGGGAATCCATGGAGAGGGCTGGGAATCCCTGGAGGGGGGCTGGGAATCCCTGGAGGGGGCTGGGAATCCCTGGAGGGGGCTGGGAATCCCTGGAGGGGAGCTGGGAATCCCTGGAGGGGGGGCTAGAAATCCCTGGAGGGGGCTGGGAATCCTGAAGGGGCTGGGAATCCCTGGAGGGGGGCTAGGAATCCCTGAAGGGGGGGCTAGAAATCCCTGGAGGGGGCTGGGAATCCCTGAAGGGGCTGGGAATCCCTGGAGGGGGGCTGGGAATCTCTTGAGGATCCGGGTCGAGCATAAGCAACGCAAATACACAATAAACAGCGAACACCAAGTTAACTCCTGCCCACTGTTCTTTAATTAGCATCTTCTGACTCCAGCTCGCTCGAACATTTGCAATTCACACGTTCTGTTGTGTTGTCCATATCTGTTTTCCTCCCCCCGTTGTACATATTTATTAGTCTCCTCCCGTTGTCCATTTATTTAAGCCTTCTCCCGTTGTCCATATCTGTTAGTCCTCTCCACTTCTCCATATATATATATATATATATATATATATATATATAATATATATATATATATATATATATATATATATATATATAATATATGCGAAACAAGCCTGAATGGTCCCCAGGACAATATGCAACTGAAAACTCACACCCCAGAAGTGACTCGAACCCATACTCCCAGGAGCAACGCAACTGGTATGTACAAGACGCCTTAATCCACTTGACCATCACGACCGGACAAAATGAAGAAATGAAATTGTCCGGTCGTGATGGTCAGTGGATTAAGGCGTCTTGTACATACCAGTTGCGTTGCTCCTGGGAGTATGGGTTCGAGTCACTTCTGGGGTGTGAGTTTTCAGTTATATATATATATATATATATATATATATATATATATTATATATATATATATATATATATATATATTATATATAATATATATATATTGTGACGATAATCTCCTTCAAGAGATTGAGCCTGCTCTTCCCTCCAAAATTACGTCTTCACAACTATATAAAAGACTATGGAAGAAAATGTCCAACAACGACAACAAACACCAGCAAGGCTTGCCAGGGTGAGCAGAAACGTATGCAACCAGCCACCTGTTCGAACTCCAACCACCAAACTACCCGTTGATCGCTACGACTCCGTGATTGGTCGCCGGTCTGGCTGCACCTGCCTCGCCCCCCCCCATACTACCCGATGTCTGGGGTTGCCCCAACATCAGTCTTCAGAATGTTCCGTGCTTTCGTAGCCAGCACACCTCCCAGCTAGACTCTAGAGTGTACTGAGAGAGGTGGTGGCTTTAAGCCAATATTCCAGCACCTCCCACTTAAACTTTTGTGTTGCACTTCTTGTTATTTTGCCTTAACGTAACTTTTCATTGTGTCATTTAAGTATTCTTATTATTTTGATTCATTGATTTATTATACATATTTGTTTGTGCATTATTTTCATGTTTTGATTTATTTAACGTAATTAAAATTTCATTGTTAAGTTTACTTGTGTTTTGTGTGTCTTCTCCTTACCTTACCACAGACGAAGTTCCAGTTTTTCTTTTTTTTTATAACTATGTGACGAGGCCATACCCCTAGCCTTAAACAGCCGAACACCAACGCGTTACCGTCACAAGTTATATGGGGGCCTGTCCGGGAGCTTCACTCAGGTACTGGTGCTAAGTGGTAATTTATGGTAAGCGTATTTAACTTTGTTAACGTAGCTTTACTATTTTTCATTCAATTTCATTTTTATAAGGTGCGGTGTATTGTGCATTACGAGAGTAACATATAGTGAAGGTGAGACAACTTTGGATTACGTGGTGACTGTAGGCCTCAGTCATACTCTTAATTGGTCATCTCTCCCTCCATGTTATTACTCGTATATACCATCTATGTCCCTTGAATATTTCTCATTCTGACAGATCATCATATTGGTACCCTGGTACTGTGGTCTGCCCCGGGTCAAGAGTACCCAATCTTCTGCAATCTGACTGTAGGAGGATAAAGAGGGCCATAGTTCCTCTAGCTCGAACTTTAGTTGCTGAATTGGGACCTCAGCAGCAGTTCTCGTCACCAGTTGACACCTCGCACCCTACACGTCAGTCAGAGATGATGATACATACAACGGTAGGGAATTAGCTTATTTTTTCAGAGCACAAAAATTCGCTAATTCTGTAAGTATCATATTAAATTCAGTAGGAAAAAACTTGCTTTGTCCTATAGAGACTTGGCAAGGTATGCCTACATCCTTGGACTACCAATTTTACTTTTGAAGCATTTAACTGTTTCATTTGTTTTCGAAACTTGTTTCATTTGTTAGTAGGATTTTCTTGCCCTTATTCTCTTACATGAGTACCGGGTACAAGATTTCCTGCGCCCTTGATTTAATTTAATCATTTAATATCTTTCACTTAACGTTAATTGTTAAAGATCACACAGGATAGGTACCAGTTGCCACGTTGTCCTGTTTCTGACATTTCATTATTGAACATTCGTGTACCTTTATTTGCTAATTTCACCATGTTTCGTCTCCAAACTTTCCGTGCAAATCCAGCAGGTGAAATAGGGACTTTAAGTCGTGCCAAGAGGACTGAATTACATACTCTTGCACATGAGTATCAACTAGAAGTTCCCTACCAAGCCAACAAAAATGACCTACACAACCTGTTGCTGGATTACTATTTAGAGCAAGGTAAGATAGACTCTGAAACACATGAAACTTACTATATTGCAGAGAAAACTGACTTGGCAGCGATGAAACTTAAACTAGAGCTGGCCAAGATTGAACGTGAGCAGCAAAGGGAAGCCCTCGAACAACAAGAACGAGCAGCTGCCATACGAAGGGAAGAACACGAACGCGAAGCCGCTTTGAGGAGAGACGAACAAGAACGAGAAATCACCCTCAGAGAACGTGAAGCTGCTTTGAGGAGAGAAGAACACGAACGTGAGGTCGCATTACTCCGTGAACGTGAACGAGTACAGCTTGAAACCAAAACAACGCGAGTTGGAGATGCAACGCGAACATGACAAGCAACAAGCAACTCTGGCTCTAGAGTGTCGTCAACGTGAAATCGCCTTGGAAACTTCACACTTCACTCAACGCCAGCAAGCTACTGCCAATCTTCCCGTCAGTTTTAATATATCACATGCAAGTAAGTTAATGCCATCCTTTGTAGAAGCAGAAGTTGATGTGTTCTTTACCACCTTTGAAACCCTTGCTAATCAACTCAGTTGGCCTGTCGACCAATGGGCCACACTTCTCAGAGTCCATCTTACAGGTAGAGCTGCAGTCACACTCAGTACTTGGCGTCTGAGAATGACTACTACACTCTGAAACAAGCAGTGTTAGACGCCTACCTACTTTCCACCGAAAGTTATAGAAGGAAATTCCGTGACCACCTGAAGGCAAGTACCACTACCTTCCTCGAGTTTGCTAACACGAACGGAGGTATTTCATGAAATGGCTGGAAGCAGCACATGTCTCTACTTTTACAGAACTCGTCAACCTGATGCTTGTTGAAGAATTCTTGAGACGTGTGCCGCCTCCTGTCCGCCTCTACTTAGCAGATAAAGAAGAAACCGACTACCTGAAGTGTGCTAAGTCGGCTGACACTTACAGCCTCATCCACCGGCTGACACCTGAACCATCCTCCAGTAAGAAGTCGTGGTACAGTTACGAGAAGGTGAGCCCCGATCAAGCTGGTTCACAACTGTACTGCAAGTATTGTAGACTCTATGGACATACCATAGACAAGTGTGGTAAGTCTCAATACAAGGGAACCACTGACCAACAACGACCCAAACCAACTCCTCCTAAGTCCGGTAAGCCTGTGATGAATGTTGGTGTTGATGTTAATGATCTTTCTCTTTTCAGTAACCACCTGTATACTGGAACTGTCTCTGCCAACGGTTCAAATCCGGAGGGACGTTTCAAATTGAAGATCTTGAGGGACACAGCGGCTCTACAATCGATCATCTTGAAGTCGGCTGTGCCCAACATAGTCTACACCGGGGGAAACGGTCTTCATCACTGACCTCACTGCTACTACTCCATACCCTCTCGCCAGAGTCCACCTGGATTGTCCCTACGTGAACGGGGAAGTCCAAGTCGCCGTCAGGGAAAAGCCTTTTCCCATGCCTGGAGTGCAACTTCTCCTAGGCAACGACTTGGCAGAAGACCTGCAACCAACCAACCTGATCGTCATGGACAAACCCCAGGTGTGTAACTCTGTGCCAAGTAACCCTATTCTTGAGTATGTTCCAGCAGAGGTTCAAGAGAGTGATGATGTTTCTCCTCCGGTTCTCGTGACC